ATTCATTCATTTCATTTCATTTACATAATGTCATGAAATTCATTCAAAAAATGAAGAAAAAAAGAAAGAAAGAAACAAAAACAACCCGTGAAAAAAAAATATTGTCGGCGAAGCATTTGTCGTAGTACTAGTAGCATTTGTATTTAATGGGACACTTTTTGGGCGGAGGAAATGTCGTCGGAGCAAATGTCACCGGAGCAAGTGTCGCTTCATGCGGAGCAAATGTCGTCGGAGCAATTGTCGGCGGAGCAAATGTCACCGGAGCAATTGTCGCTTCAGGCGGAGCAATTGTCGGCGGAGCAATTGTCGACGGAGCAATTGTCGGCGGAGCAATTGTCGGCGGAGCAAATGTCGTCGGAGCAATTGTCGGCGGAGCATATGTTACCGGAGCAATTGTCGCTTCAGGCGGAGCAATTGTCGGCGGAGCAATTGACGGCGGAGCAAATGTCGGCGGAGCAAATGTCGCGGAGCAAATGTCGCGGAGCAATTGTCGCGTTTTGCGGAGTAAATGTCGGCGGAGCAATCGTCGGCGGAGCATGTGTCATGGAACCACACTCGATTCAGTCCATAAATGCAGCCACATCGAAAATGAAAGACAAAGTGAGTGCAACCTGGACGATTGATGGACGAATAATGGCGGTGCTGACATCAACAGGCAAGAAAAAACAGATAAGATCACATTCTGACTTGAAACTTATTTAAACAATAATTGTATTGTGCAGCCATGGAAGTTCATGGTGCCATACATACTATCCAATTTATATGTTGATGAAGATAAACACATATATATTTTACTCATTGTAGGCTTCCGGTCCTCTTTTATCAAATTATATAAACTTTTGAACTCTTAAATGTATGTTCTTTTTATCGTGTTAATGTGCTTATTTACCCGTCTTTTCTAAATATGTCTCTCCGTATGTTGTATCAAAGTGCAATCAATAGCTTAGATTTAAATGCAATATCAAATGTCTTATCACCCATGAATGATGAGGAAAAACGCCTTGGGATAAGTCAGTCTTTTTTCTTACCAGATGAATTAAACGAAAAACTTTCTTTCAATAAAATAAATTCCATTAATTTTTCAATGATGCATATTAATTGTAGAAGTATTTTGAAAAACATGGATGGCATTTCATCATTGTTAAATAATTTAGATTTTCAATTTTCTGTCCTGGGGATCACTGAGACTTGGTTGAATGAAACCTCATCAACGGGGCTGTGCAACGTCAAAGGTTATAATTTCATTAATATCAATAGGCAAAACAGGAGAGGTGGAGGTATTGGTATTTATTTGAGAAACTCTTTAGTTTATAAACAAAGAGATGATTTGAATATTAATAATGATTCATTTGAAAGTTTATTTGTTGAAATTGAAAATGTATCTGATAAAAATGTAATATTGGGTGTAGTCTATAGACCTCCTGATCAGTCTATTGAATCATTTTTTGATCAATTGTCTTCTGTTCTTGCTATTGTAAATAATGAAAATAAATTAATTTATTTAATGGGAGATTTTAATATCAATTTGTTATCAACTGTCTCTTCCCAAAATGCAAATTCCTTCTTGAATTTGTTTACTTCTTTTTTTATGTACCCACTTATTCACAACCCTACTCGCATTACTGATCATTCCGCAACATTATTGGATAATATTTTTACAAATGATATGAAAAATAAATTTAGTGGTGTGATTTTGGTTGACATAAGTGATCATTTTCCTGTTTTCAGTATATCTTATTCCAATAGAATTAATGAAAAGAAAAAGCATATACTTAAACGAATAATGAATGAAAGAAATATTATTACATTTAATGAACGTTTGAAAGATGTATATTGGAATTTCAAACTAAGTGATCCTAATGCTAGTTACAGCTTCTTCTTGGCAAAATTTCTACGTTTATATTTTGATTTGATTTGATTTGATTTATTGGTTTCTGCATCTTTTTTCTTTTTTCATCATACATTTTCATGAACATAATATGGTTTGATACAATATGTTAATTGTATATAATTTTATACAGATAATAAACGAATTTGAACAAATATATTGAATGCATAATTAACATACATTAGATGCAGGAGGGCTACAAAAATAAGCAAAGTAGCTTGACGTGCCCGCAGCCCTCAACTTAGATACAACATCAATAACAAATACAAATAGAAAAGACTGACTTGCAAAGAAGAAAAGGAAAGGGAAGAGAAGGAGCGTTGGTAATAATACAATAAATCTCGTACATCTGCTGATTGAATGCAGGTTCATTCATGAATGGCTAAACGATACTAGGTCATGGACGATTACACATTATTGTTGAATATACAGTCAATGTACACACGAACATGAATATAGTACAATTACACACAGGATCAATACTTAGACAATAACATAGTTTTAACTGCCTTCTTAAATGAATACAATGTCCTATGATTTCTTATTACAATGGGCAGAGAGTTCCAGATGTCTGGGCCGGCGTGTCTTATGGATTTGAGAGCCAATGCGGTTTTTGGATTTCTTAAATGGAATTTTTCAGTTTGCTTTGTAGGGTAAGAGTGGATGTTTTTATTCAAATTAAACAATGGGGGGAAATAAGAAGGTAGTAAACCATTTTGTAAGCGAAACATGAAGTGTGCTATTTGTAGAATATATATATCATCAACTTTTAGAGTTTTTAGTTTTGAAAACAAGGGATTGGGTGTGGTCGCGATAGGAAGAATCAGTACATACACGCATTGCTTTCTTTTGTAACAGTAAAATGGTGTCAACGTTACTTTTCGAATTTGCCCATTTAATGTTACAATATGAAATATATGGCAGTATTAATGAATTATATAACATAAACAAGATATTTGAAGGGACATAATATTTCAATTTACAGAGAATACCAATATTACGTGAAATAGTATTAGAAATATATTGCACATGATTATTCCATCTCAGATTTTCATTGATCAAAACACCAAGGAATTTTGTGCTATCCTTTTTTTCCAATAATTCACCATCCAAAGTAACTTCGATGTCAGGAATATCATTATTTTTTCTGTTCTGAAAGTATATATAGTTTGTTTTCTTTAAATTAAGAGACAGTTTATTACTTCTAAACCATTTTGATAATTTTGGTAATTCAATGTTAATATTTCTTAAAAGGCTCTGAAAATCTGAATTGGAACAAAATGCATTGGTGTCATCAGCAAATAAAATATATTGAAGTGCATTTGATGAATTATAAATATCATTTACATATATCAGAAATAACAAAGGGCCGAGGATTGACCCTTGTGGCACTCCACACGTTATAGATAATAATTCTGATTCATTTGAATCATAACATACATATTGTTTTCTATTTGTTAAATAATTTTTAAACCATTGTATAGCAACACCCCTCAATCCATAGTATTCCAATTTACGTATAAGTAGTGTATGGTCAAGAGTGTTAAATGCCTTGCTCAGATCCATGAATACTCCAATAACATGCTTATGATCAGCTAAGGCATTTGACCAGTGGCGTACGCAGGATTTTTTCAAGGGGGGGGGGGGGGTTTAAAATCGGGCCCAAAATTTCGCAACGACTCAGGAAAATTTGAAAATCGCGCCGGCCGAAAAGTCGCTCAGTGGGGGGGGGGGGGGGGGGGGGGGGGGTGTAAGGACATTTTTTTTTTTGGGGGGGGGTCCCAAAAAAAGATCGCAGCGACTCAGCCGGCCGAAAAGTCGCTCAGTGGGGGGGGGGGGGGGGTAAGAGGACACTTTTTTTTTTTTTTTTTGGTCTCGAAATTTGAATTAAATTCACTCAAATCAGTAGATATTTAGAAAGGATGAACAGGCTCTTTAAGATTCAGTACACTAGAAAATAAGATTATACGATGTGACTGGTTTAAAGCGAAGTTGCAAACCCAAAATCAGAAATAGAGAACGTCAATTTGGTAAGACTTTGAATAGTTCAATTCGAAGTACGTACGTACTATACTGTGTATACTATGCTGTGTACGTGTATTGTATGTACTGTTTGTATGCAGCTATAGACGCACCAGCCAGTCGTTTTGTGTAAATTAGGATTTTAAAAAGTTTAAAGATACGATATACACAAGACAGCCAACACAGTGGGATATGTGGTGGATATATCCAGCTCAAGCTTACTTTCTACTTCAATACAACTACTATTGATAATGATAATCATTGGATAAACAGACCACGTATGAAAATCAAAGAGCACATAAAAATCATTCATTCAGCAACCAAATATACAAATAAACATTGAAAATGGCAACGTGCCGCTTGATATTTGTTAATACATTGATAAATGGCAACATGCCGCTTGATATGTCTTTATACATTGAAAATGGCAACGTGCCGGTTGATATTTGTTTATACATTGATAAATGGCAACATGCCGCTTGATATGTCTTTATACATTGAAAATGGCAACGTGCCGGTTAATATACATTGAAAATGGCAACGTGCCGGTTGATATACATTGAAAATGGCAACGTGCCGGTTGATTTACATTGAAAAATGGCAACATGCCGGTTCATATGTCTTTATACATTGAAAAATGACAACATGCCGGTTCATATGTCTTTATACATTGAAAATGGCAACGCGCCGGTTGATATATATTGAAAATGGCAACGTGCCGGTTGATATACATTGAAAATGGCAACGTGCCGGTTGATATACATGGAAAATGGCAACATGCCGGTTCATATGTCTTTATACATTGAAAAATGACAACATGCCGGTTCATATGTCTTTATACATTGAAAATGGCAACGCGCCGGTTGATATATATTGAAAATGGCAACGTGCCGGTTGATATACATTGAAAATGGCAACGTGCCGGTTGATATACATTGAAAAGCGGTGGTGTAATATGAACTCCAGTTCCTGCAGTAGGCAGCCGCCTACTTTGTTCTCGGGGCGTTGAACCAAATCTAACCTGCTGTGCCGCTGGCATCTGTGAATCTGCAGTTGGTCCTGATGCACTTTGTCCACTCAGAGTTGGGAGAAATGCCTCCTGGCGACCTGGTTCTGAGTCTGCAACTGATTCCTGACTCATCGAAGCACGTAGTTGCTCCATCATTTGATCTACTTCTGTCATACTCCTTTCTAAGTGCTTCATCATTTCTCCTGGCGTTGGTCGATTCTGCCTATTTCTTCCTTGTGCCATTGTCACTGGATCCCACTTCTGACACCACATGTAACGAAACCGGTTCCTGTCGATGTTCTTCCCAGCAGCTTATCTTGTCAGGATTGCCTTCTGCTGGTAGGTTTTCCTAGTCCGGTACAACTTTTCGCCGTGGATCCGTTTGGCAGAAATATACTGCCCCGTTGACGTTGACACCAGTCTGATATATTGCTCCGCACCACCTCTCGACCACCGTCTTCTACCAACCGTTGTACCGTCGTATACCACCAGCCAACTAGGCCAGTCCGCTTCTGCACCTTTCAGACGTCTATACCAGTCTGCTTGTGCATGCAACTCCAATTGGCCGCACCAGTTTGCTTCATGCACCTTCCAGACGTCTATACCAGTCTGCTTGTGCATGCAACTCCAATTGGCCGCACCAGTTTGCTTCATGCACCTCCAAACAACCAGACCGTCTGACTTCGTACAGTCAGCTTACTCGACCATGCCACTGGCTCTGCTACACAGTAGTCCCTGGTATTGTCTAATACTAGAACGTAAAAGACCCAACAAACACAACCTAGATTCTTACCATGGTCGTCACCTAAAATCAGACTTCAACTTTAGGTTTCCCCATGGAAAGACATGCAAGCGATCATCTCAATCATTTCGTTGCACGCAATACTTTATTGGGCAAATATCCAAACATAATCTGATTGCCTTACAAAGTAAGTGTCCCCAGTGGGCGACGGCAATTGTGTAGATTATGACAGGAAGCTCACAGCCACGTGAGACACTTGATTTATATACACATTTCTTATACATTTATTATTCTCGTTAGATTTCCAATAATTACATAAACATTGATATAACTTCACTTTCCAATATCAGATTGAAACAAACCATATATCAAATGAAAGCACTAGTTTTTATCAATAAAACTAAACAAAAGAGAACAAGTAGTTATTAATGGTAGAAAAGTAATTACACTAAAACTGTCAAAAACATGCACGATCAAACATTCTTGAAATTGACACGTGACTATAATAGCATTGTATATTTAACTTGAATTACGCCATCTACGCCGAAATAACTATCTACGAAATGAAACCAATTTCGTGACAATACATTGGAAAATGGCAACATGCCGGCTTATATGTCTTTATACATTGAAAATGGCAACGTGCCGGTTGATATACATTGAAAATGGCAACATGCCGTTTGATATGTCTTTATACATTGGAAAATGGCAACATGCCGGCTGATATGTCTTTATACATTGGAAAATGTCAACATGCCAACTGATATGTCTTTACAATGAAAATGGCAACACGCCGGTTGATATACATTGAAAATGGCAACATGCCGGTTAATTGATATATACATTGGAAAATGGCAACATGCCGGCTGAAATGTCTTTATACATTGAAAATGGCAACGTGCCGGTTGATATACATTGAAAATGGCAACATGCCGTTTGATATGTCTTTATATTGGAAAATGGCAACATGCCGGCTGACAGGTCATTTGAATGTGCTGCACCAACCCTTTGGAACTCTCTTCCTAGCACTCTACGTGCTCAATCAGACAAAGACATGTTCCAGAAAGAGCTCAAGACATATTTGTTTAACATTTCCTTTTAATTTTGTACTGGTTCCAAAGGGTTCGTGCAGCACATACCATCTTTGTGACTGACTGAATGCTGATGTTTATTTATCTATTCATATTTATATTGTTGTATAATTATAATCATTTTCAAATATTACATGTATCACCTTTAATAGAAGCTATTTTCGATTTTTCTAATGTATAATGTATGCCTACTTGTAAGTTTTGATTATAATTATATGTAATTATTTCTATATATGTCTTTATTTCTATTGTCTTCTACATTTGTAAAGCGCATTGGTATTACCTTCGGTAATTAAATGCGCTATATAAGAGCTAACTATTATTATTATTATTATATGTCTTCATACATTGAAAATGGCAACTTGCCGGTTGATATACATTGAAAATGGCAACATGCCGGTTGATATGCCTCCCTTAAAGAGAATTATTATTAAAGAGAATGAGTGCAAGAAGATAGACCAAGAAGATAGACCAAGATGGTAGACCTGGAAGCTCGACTGCTGTCTCAGCATTCTTCCAGTATTTGCGGTAAAGGTAAAGGTAATATATTGAAAAATGGCAACATGCCGGCTGATATGTCTTTATACATTGAAAATGGCAACGTGCCGGTTGATATACATTGAAAATGGCAACATGCCGTTTGATATGTCTTTATACATTGGAAAATGGCAACATGCCGGCTGATATGTCTTTATACATTGGAAAATGGCAACATGCCAACTGATATGTCTTTACAATGAAAATGGCAACATGCCGGTTGATATACATTGAAAATGGCAACATGCCGGTTAATTGATATGTCTTTATACATTGAAAATGGCAACGTGCCGGTTGATTTACATTGAAAATGGCAACATGCCGTTTGATATGTCTTTATATAGGAAAATGGCAACATGCCGGCTGATATGTCTTCATACATTGAAAATGGCAACTTGCCGGTTGATATACATTGAAAATGGCAACATGCCGTTTGATATGTCTTTATACATTGGAAAATGGCAACATGCCGGCTGATATGTCTTTATACATTGGAAAATGGCAACATGCCAACTGATATGTCTTTACAATGAAAATGGCAACATGCCGGTTGATATACATTGAAAATGGCAACATGCCGGTTAATTGATATGTCTGTATACATTGGAAAATGGCAACATGCCGGCTGAAATGTCTTTATACATTGAAAATGGCAACGTGCCGGTTGATATACATTGAAAATGGCAACATGCCGTTTGATATGTCTTTATATTGGAAAATGGCAACATGCCGGCTGATATGTCTTCATACATTGAAAATGGCAACTTGCCGGTTGATATACATTGAAAATGGTAACATGCCGGTTGATATGCCTCCCTTAAAGAGAATTATTATTAAAGAGAATGAGTACAAGAAGATAGACCAAGAAGATAGACCAAGATGGTAGACCTGGAAGCTCGACTGCTGTCTCAGCATTCTTCCAGTATTTGCGGTAAAGGTAAAGGTAATATATTGGAAAATGGCAACATGCCGGCTGATATGTCTTTACAATGAAAATGGCAACATGCCGGTTGATATACATTGAAAATGGCAACATGCCGGTTAATTGATATGTCTTTATACATTGAAAATGGCAACGTGCCGGTTGATATACATTGAAAATGGCAACATGCCGTTTGATATGTCTTTATATTGGAAAATGGCAACATGCCGGCTGATATGTCTTCATACATCGAAAATGGCAACTTGCCGGTTGATATACATTGAAAATGGCAACATGCCGGTTGATATACATTGAAAATGGCAACATGCCGTTTGATATGTCTTTATACATTGGAAAATGGCAACATGCCAACTGATATGTCTTTACAATGAAAATGGCAACATGCCGGTTGATATACATTGAAAATGGCAACATGCCGGTTAATTAATATGTCTTTATACATTGGAAAATGGCAACATGCCGCTTGATATGTCTTTATACATTGAAAATGGCAACGTGCCGGTTAATATACATTGAAAATGGCAACGTGCCGGTTGATATACATTGAAAATGGCAACATGCCGTTTGATATGTCTTTATATAGGAAAATGGCAACATGCCGGCTGATATGTCTTCATACATTGAAAATGGCAACTTGCCGGTTGATATACATTGAAAATGGCAACATGCCGTTTGATATGTCTTTATACATTGGAAAATGGCAACATGCCGGCTGATATGTCTTTATACATTGGAAAATGGCAACATGCCAACTGATATGTCTTTACAATGAAAATGGCAACATGCCGGTTGATATACATTGAAAATGGCAACATGCCGGTTAATTGATATGTCTGTATACATTGAAAAATGGCAACATGCCGGCTGAAATGTCTTTATACATTGAAAATGGCAACGTGCCGGTTGATATACATTGAAAATGGCAACATGCCGTTTGATATGTCTTTATATTGGAAAATGGCAACATGCCGGCTGATATGTCTTCATACATTGAAAATGGCAACTTGCCGGTTGATATACATTGAAAATGGCAACATGCCGGTTGATATGCCTCCCTTAAAGAGAATTATTATTAAAGAGAATGAGTACAAGAAGATAGACCAAGAAGATAGACCAAGATGGTAGACCTGGAAGCTCGACTGCTGTCTCAGCATTCTTCCAGTATTTGCGGTAAAGGTAAAGGTAATATATTGGAAAATGGCAACATGCCGGCTGATATGTCTTTACAATGAAAATGGCAACATGCCGGTTGATATACATTGAAAATGGCAACATGCCGGTTAATTGATATGTCTTTATACATTGAAAATGGCAACGTGCCGGTTGATATACATTGAAAATGGCAACATGCCGTTTGATATGTCTTTATATTGGAAAATGGCAACATGCCGGCTGATATGTCTTCATACATCGAAAATGGCAACTTGCCGGTTGATATACATTGAAAATGGCAACATGCCGGTTGATATACATTGAAAATGGCAACATGCCGTTTGATATGTCTTTATACATTGGAAAATGGCAACATGCCAACTGATATGTCTTTACAATGAAAATGGCAACATGCCGGTTGATATACATTGAAAATGGCAACATGCCGGTTAATTAATATGTCTTTATACATTGGAAAATGGCAACATGCCGCTTGATATGTCTTTATACATTGAAAATGGCAACGTGCCGGTTAATATACATTGAAAATGGCAACGTGCCGGTTGATATACATTGAAAATGGCAACGTGCCGGTTGATTTACATTGAAAAATGGCAACATGCCGGTTCATATGTCTTTATACATTGAAAATGACAACATGCCGGTTCATATGTCTTTATACATTGAAAATGGCAACGCGCCGGTTGATATATATTGAAAATGGCAACGTGCCGGTTGATATACATTGAAAATGGCAACGTGCCGGTTGATATACATGGAAAAATGGCAACATGCCGGTTCATATGTCTTTATACATTGAAAAATGACAACATGCCGGTTCATATGTCTTTATACATTGAAAATGGCAACGCGCCGGTTGATATATATTGAAAATGGCAATGTGCCGGTTGATATACATTGAAAATGGCAACGTGCCGGTTGATATACATTGAAAATTGCAACGTGCCGGTTGATATACATTGAAAAATGGCAACATGCTGGTTGATATGTCTTTATACATTGAAAATGGCAACGTGCCGGTTGATATACATTGAAAATGGCAACATGCCGGTTAATTGATATGTCTTTATACATTGAAAATGGCAACGTGCCGGTTGATATACATTGAAAATGGCAACATGCCGTTTGATATGTCTTTATATTGGAAAATGGCAACATGCCGGCTGATATGTCTTCATACATCGAAAATGGCAACTTGCCGGTTGATATACATTGAAAATGGCAACATGCCGGCTGATATACATTGAAAATGGCAACATGCCGTTTGATATGTCTTTATACATTGGAAAATGGCAACATGCCAACTGATATGTCTTTACAATGAAAATGGCAACATGCCGGTTGATATACATTGAAAATGGCAACATGCCGGTTAATTAATATGTCTTCATACATTGGAAAATGGCAACATGCCGCTTGATATGTCTTTATACATTGAAAATGGCAACGTGCCGGTTAATATACATTGAAAATGGCAACGTGCCGGTTGATATACATTGAAAATGGCAACATGCCGTTTGATATGTCTTTATATAGGAAAATGGCAACATGCCGGCTGATATGTCTTCATACATTGAAAATGGCAACTTGCCGGTTGATATACATTGAA